GACTATAGCTCATATATATGTATGTATATTCTTATATCCCTCAATCCCTACTAGGCCCAGTTGTTGGGGCAATTCCTGAGCCTCCCACCATGGCCAGGAAGGCTGGAAGAGCCTTAGGAGCGCTTTGCAAAAGAGGCCTGGCCTCCCCGGAAGCAACATGGAGCCCATGTGAGCCATAGTTTGGGTACCCAGTAACTAGGGTTTAGGGTTTAGGGTGTCTACTTAAGGGGGACCATATCCTAAGCCCTAAACCCTACCCCCTAAATAGTAGTTTCCATTTTCTTTTCCATTCTCCCAATATACCCCCACATTCTATCTACTTAAGGGGAGCTATAACCCTAAAACCCCAACATGGAGCCCCATGTGAGCCATAGTCTAAACTCCTTACAAAAGTTATATAGCGGAGTATTATAGGGCCTATTGAGGGGGGTACTAGGAGTTTAGGCTACGACTGATATGCGGGGGTTTCCCCAAATTAGGCGTAACTTTTTTGGGGGGGTACCCATAATGAGGATTGTAGCATTTCGGGGTCTAAATTGGGTTCCTCGAATTCAGGGAAACAACTATGTCAATCCGCTTGAAAAGGCAATAGTCCACAGAGGGCCTTTGAGGTTCCATGCTACTTTGGGGTGGATGACCAGGAGAGGTTAGGTGCATGTGCAATACACGGGGGATACATTGGACACGCCTGGCCTCCCCTGTAGGAGCCTTTATGTGTTGAATCGGGTTTGGGGCTACACTTTACACGATTTCGGATTTAGGTTGAGGGGAGGTTTCTGAGGAGGCAATGTTTCCAGCTAGTCAGGCGTCATTAGGGGTCCAGCGCTACATAGGATTTCCACTCTGAATCCATGAGCCTAAGCATTCTGACGTGGAGCTTGTTGAGCTCGAATGTCTTGTCTGAACCGTCCTTGTCTTCACTCCCATGCCCCTGAAAAGACAGCCTCGTACCCCCTACTAACAAACATTCCCAACGCAATGGAATTACGATACCATACTCATTATTAGGTAGCTGGGGTTTTGTTCCTAGCGGAGGGGATTACAACCTCTCTCTCGTTACACTTGTAACAATCACAGGCTTGATTTGCTACCACCAGGCTTGGCCTAGACCACAGCAAGCCTTGAACCGAGATCACTACAAAAACTAATCTCCTCGACCTGATATTGAGCACCCGTGAAAAGAAATGGTGGCATTTCAAAAATTAGCCGTCCCATAACTTGGGCGTTGGCGTCCGTACAATAATTAATTGCTGGAGTGTGCTCATGAGGGTACATAAGGAAGACCTCTCCTTGCAGGAACCTCATGCTTTCCTCGAATTCTTTTGTGCTACTCCGGGGAACAGTCCAAAGACTGACTGCAGGAATGGTGAACATCACCGGGAAGGGACTAAGAGACGCTGATTGAATCCATGGTTGCAAGAAACCTGGGACACTGGCCACATGCGCATGGTGTTGACGAGAAGACTAATTGAGTTGGCAAATCTTAACAACATATCCGGCGTAGGCATAGGTGAGGTTCTCTTGCCTTTGAAGTGATGCAGATTGCTGGATTTAGAGTTGGCCTTTGAGGCAAACACGACTGATCCAAATCTCCTCATGGACTGCGGTTAGGGTTTAGGTCACAGGGCCGGGTACTCGAATTCGAAAAACAGCATGCCCGGATGTGAAGCTGTCCCATGTTAGCAAAAGCGTGCTTGGAGTTCTTACCGGGTCTTACGGTACTGCTTTCTGAGATGCTGGCCACTGCTGCTGAGAGGTTTCCAACCTTGAGAGCATGTTGCTTCCATACTTCATGGATCCTCTATCTGAACCCCCAAAAGTGTGTAAAATGATGACCTGGGGGTTTTGGGCTAGCATTTTACCTACTTTTAGGGCCTAGGTACTACTCCCCGCCCCTATGTTACCCGCCGGGGCTCCCCTTCCTTAAGGTTATCTAGTGGGGGCACCCCATGACTGTCTTGCGTACAACTAACTATCCGGGAGATTCATTTATCAAGGGGCGAGGGTCTGCCTGAAACCCAAAAGGGCGTTTCCAGTCCTCACAATGCCGACATAAAAACATCCTGCGGAGGCTCTGTAAAAAAAAAAACTAAACCCCTAAGCCCTAAACCCGAACAATAAGGCAAGACTCTGATGGCCAAGCTGCTGAGGTTTTGAAATTAGGGCTTACCCTGACCCGACTTTCAGGGAACATTTTGCAGGCCTATTCAAGTGGAGAACCAAATGGAAAAGAAGATGGAAGATGAAGGAACATGATAAACAGCAATATGGGGAGTTCCCAAAATTGGGGGTACCTTTCTGGGGGTCCCTATAAGAAGGATTATAGTATTTTTGGGTCTATATTGGGGTCCGCTATTTTGGGAAACTACAATATATGGCTAAGTAGGCGTATAGCAAACAAAACTTGAGCTTCTACAAGAGTAGCTAGAACTGACTGTAGTATGGTACTGATCATGACTTGGCTTTTCCCCTAAACCCTAAACCAAGGGATTTGAGGTTGGGCAGCGGTTAGATTGTACGCCACCCCCAACCACAAAAGGCTTCTGCTCTCAGCGCTTGGTGGCTTCTGAGGCGATAGTGTGATCAGTATCCCTTGGGTACTGCCCCCCCCCAGTAACAGTCTACGTTAGGGGTCCTATTAAGGGCTATATATGACCATAGTATAATTATTATCCAACTGTTACTGAGGGGGGGGCAGTACTGAAAGTATCCTTAATAGCTTAGTTATATGGAAGTTTCCCGAAATCAGGGGTACCCTTTTGGGGGCCCCATAAGAAGGATTGTAGTACATCAGGGTCTATATTGGCGTCCTTCTGTTTTGGGAGACTACCATATACCCCTGTAGGGCGAAGATGTGGGGCAGGAATCGCATGTCCCCCAACTTGCCTATAGGGGTTTCCGGAAGGGGCGCTGCCTTGGGGACCCTCTGGGGGTATGTGGTTTATGAAATCTGTTAGCCATTTAAAAACCGCTAAGTTTGGGATAGTCCTACTTCAGGAGGTTCATATGCCAACCCGCAAGAACTCTGTGCAGAAGAGTCGGTTCCTTTTTATGATGACCGTACGTGGTGGTTTCCCTAAATAGGGGGACCCCACTATAGACACCCAAATCCTATAATCCTTATTATAAGGATCCCGCAAAATTGTACCCCTAATCTCGGGAAACCGTAAGCCCTAGTCCCTATACAACCCCTATATGACACTGTATAACCCCTATCTAACCCCCTTTAAAGGTACCCCTAATCTTAGGAAACCCCCATGTCTTAAGTCGCACCGATAAATCTCGGCTTAGGCATCGGGCCCCAGTGACAAAGACATGGGGTTTTATGGGCCAGAGGGTTTATGGGCTTTAGGGTTTAGGGGTTTGGGGGCAAGCAAGTGAGGGTTATTGCTGGCCAGCTTTTCATGCAGGGGAAGGTTCGAAGGCACTGAACACGAGCGCCTTGTAGGCTTGATTAACAATCTGCTCCTGTGGAATGTCCCGGAAAATGAACTCGGCGTCTTCTTCAAGCACAGCTCCATTGACGCCCTTCCACTGCCACCTTCGTAGCAGTAATCGCGATACCTCAGCATTGAGCAACGCTGCATAGTTGTCTCCATTGCTGAGGACAACCATCACCTTGCCCACATCGGGGCCCTCAAAGCAAGCAATGTAAACACCGCGGAAGCCCTCATTGGCCGCCTGATGCACGGCCACCTTATTTGGTCCGGCATCCATGACGAAAACCCCGAGGCCCATGCGCGCGCCCATAAAGTCTACGGAGCCAAGGTCGCGCACATTGTCACGCAGCACTGCCACTGCAGTCGCATGTGCGATGGGGGTTAGTCTAGCTGTATCAGTATAGGCTGCAATCAGCTCTGCCCAAAAGTTGGCTAAAGAACGGGGTGTGCCCAAGGCTCCTGCAGCAAACGGCGGAAAAGCCAGGCGGCCAGTTGGCGCTGCAACAACGTCACCCGTATCTGAGAAACCAAGGGCGTAGCGACCCAGTGCACGCGGCAGGTCATGGGGTATGAAGCTGAAGTCTGAGAGCCCTGTGATGTCCAGGAAGGGGCGGCACACGCCTTCCACTGCTGCTCCTTCCATGGCTTCTATAAGGTGCTGCAAGACAAGGAAACCGCCACCAGAATAGGCAAAGCAAGTTCCCGGTTCCTTGCTTACCTCAATTGCCTGGTAGCCCAGGTCGGTGCGTTCACCAGAAACGAGCGACAGCACAGATGGAAAGTCGTCGCTAAGCCTGACTCCATAGACGTAATCCTCTAGACCCCAAACCTCTAAGCCCCGAACCGGTATCCCTGAACCCTAAACCCCTAAACCCTGATCCCTATAAACCCTCGGCCTGACTCCATGGACGTAATGCATTCCGAGGCCGGTGTGGTCCATCAGATGAATCAGCTGAACCCGGTCTGCCCACTCCTATGTTTATTGTAGGGCTTAGGATCTAGGGTTTCTAGCATGTACAGGATAGGATTTATAAGGGTTTTAAGGTTCAGGGGTTGGGGCCTATATTGCTGCTAACTAAGGTTTTGGTTATTACAAGTAGGAATTCATACCATCTAGCATACACACGCTTATCAGGGCAAGTGAAGTTAAGCTCCCTACTTCCATAACGGCAGCCCAGACTCACTCGGAACGTCTCCTTCTTTGGCCGCCCGCAGACGGAACGGTGAGGCAGTGCGAGAGAGTAGTGCGTTGACAGGCTCAGTCAGTGGGATGCCTTTCCCTGCAAAGTACTGCGTGGCGAATACCGAAGCTACCGTCTTGCCTTATTGATGGTTAGCAGACGAAAAGGGAAATTGCGGATATAGTTTCTGCTGAAAGGATTCCAGGAGGGGTTATGTGTTCGCAGGATCACTTCCTCCATACCCTACTATTACTATTAGTATCATTATTATTACCATTATTAGCATTCCTTATGACTAGTATCGTCATTACTAATATTGTTCTCATTATTATTACTGTGATAATCGCCAGTAAGTTGCTCAGTGAGGCCATCTCAAGCCAGTGCCGCGGTGTAAGTGGCGCGGTGCCATCCGCAGTTCCTGCTGCAATGTCCAAATGACTCACCAAGCCATTCAGGGCAATGCTGACCTTGAATGTTGCTGACTATTCAAAATTTTTATGCTGGGCATAGGAAGGCTTACGTATAAGTAAGTGGAGTGAAAAAACTTAAGACGAGTAAGCTCCCATTTTGTGGGTATTCGCTCAACAATATGGTTTCCAAGTATTGCCATACTTCAGTTGAATTTCGTTTAAAAAACCACCGAAAGCAGCATGTACAATGTTCCTCAACACAAAAAACGGCGACTCCACAAACCCCGTGCTTTTTCAGTAGGTCCTCCAGCTCCTGCCTCAAGTGTTCGATGCTGATGGGCTCCATGCTTCAAGGTGGAAGCAAGCCTCCAACCATTCCCAGCCGAAAGGTTTCTGTAGCAGGAGGAATATATGAGCTACTGTCTAAACTCCTCGTATCCCCCTTAATAAGCCCTATAGTAGTCCCCTATATAATCCCCCATATAACCCCTTTAAGGAGTTTAGACTATAGCTCATATGTCCAAAACTGGGTTTCCCCCCTCATAGAGCCTTGCTTATTCCAAATCTATGAAAGGGACCCTAACTTTTGGAAACCCCCTGGGGTTACTTTGATCCACTTATCAAATCTCCCCGACCCTAAACTACCCTAAACCCTAAACACAAACCCTGTATACCCTATATACCCTATACAAGTCTCCCCGAAACTCCAAGTACAAGCTAATCGGCAAGGCAAAGCTCAAGCCAAGCCCAGGCTGCTATTGGGTTCAGGGTTTAGGGTTTTTTTGGGTTTAGGGTTTTAGGGTTTTAGGGTTTTAGGGTTTTAGGGTGGTGCCATTGTTTCCCCCCCTCCCCCAAAATCTTAAGATTCAATTCTTTTGTGGGTATAGTTAATC